AGGCAAGGTGCAGAAGACAGTGTTGGAGCGGTGGGAGGAGTCTCTGATGTCCTCCACCAGCCTCCCGCAGGTGTTCCTGCACCTGGCCACGCTGGACCGCTCCGTCATGTGGGCCAAGTCCGTGCTGAACGCTCGCTGCCGGATGTGCCGCAGGAAGGGAGACGCAGAGAAGATGCTTCTGTGTGATGGTTGTGACCGGGGTCACCACATGTACTGTCTTAAACCCCCACTTAAGGTACAGAAATGATTCACAACCTTTAGAAAATGGAACCTCTAAGAAAATCAAGGCTCAGCTGAGGCAGTAAATGACATTGTGCGAACTTTCTGACAGCAAATCATCCAAATTTTATTTCCATCACTGTAGTAGACAAGGATGAGCCATTCTTGTTCCTGGAAGATGCTAACATGTGCTGTGCTGTGTTGTTTCCTTGTAGAAAGTGCCTGAGGGTGACTGGTACTGTCACACGTGTAAACCTCAGATGCAGAAGCGAGCGGTACCGCAGACACCACGCAGGCGCCGCACGATGGACAGTGACAGCGAGTCATCAGACAGTGAAGAGGAGTATGTGTCATACTTCTCCCCTCTGTTCTGCTACTGTGTGGTCTGAGAATTTGCAGCTCTCTATTCTAATTCTATGGTTCTACAAAAAATGAAAAAAAAAAAACAGCAGCTGCCAGTTGGCTTCAACTTGCAAAGCTCCTCTACCTTATATCTGAATAAGAGGGATGTAATTTTGGCTTTCACTGTGCCATGTCAAAGTGGCACAAGTTTGTTGAAGTAGAACTCTGGTCTATCGTGTATTGCTGAGACTGACTAGTATGTATCATCATGCAGGTCTGACGAGGAGGATGAGGATGAAGAAAGTGAGAGTGAGGAAGAAGAGAGTGATGAGGAAGAGGAGCAGGAGGACAGTGATGAAGAGGAGTAAGTACTAAATCTATTTGAGCCAGGGAATCTAAGGACGACTTTTGAAGGGCATGAAAATTTCATGGAACAGGTTTAGATCTGGCTGGAGTAACAATTATTGGGATTGAAAAGTCAGATCCATGTAATGTGGTTTGAAAAAATGCAGGTCTGAGGAGGAGTCAGAAGAAGAAGAGGAAGAGGAGGCTGTGGCTACAGAGATGGAGCATGCAGACATCTGTTCCATCTGTAGTGACGGTGGTGTGCTGGTGTTGTGTGACACCTGTCCCTGTGCTTTCCACCTGCTGTGTGCAGACCCTCCGCTCAACCGCACCCCCCGGGGCAAGTGGCGCTGTCAGTACTGCACAGGCAGGGTACTCAGGGAGCCGGCGAGGACTCGCAGGGGCACCAAAGGTCATTTTCTGTGTGCTTCTTGGAAAGTCTTTTCGAATCGTTGTTCCTGCAACATTCTTATATTTAAAACAAGACACCTCACGATCTTTTGTTGGGGTATTCCTGACCATACATGCACCACAGTTTAACTT